CATTCACTTGTTTTACATATACTTAACAAAAGTTATAATTCTACACCCACAGTTGATCCAGAGAAAGGCAAAAAACTCAGCAAAGCATAATACAATTTGCTCCTGCAGGGAAAAAAAATTCCTTCCTGATCCCCCCGAGAGGCAAGCGTATCAAAAAATGCGATTGAGACCACCTCCAGGTCCACAGTACTCAACTGATGACATAGGAAGACCTCATAGTATCCAAAACAGATGTCTAAAGAACTATGAGGTCTTCCCATGCCACTGTGGACCTGGAAGTGGTCGCATTTTCTGATACGCTTGTGCATGTCATGCGTTAATGAGCATTCACTTGTTTTACATATACTTAATAAAAGTTATAATCCTATACCCACAGGTGATCCAGAGAAAGGCAAAAACCCCAGCGAAGCATAATACAATTTGCTCCTGCATGGGGAAAAAAATTCCTTCCTGATCCCCCGAGAGGCAAGCGTATCAAAAAATGCGAATGAGACCACCTCCAGGTCCACAGTGCTCAACTGATGACATAGGGAGGCCTCATAGTATCCAAAAACAGGCGTCTAAAGAACTATGAGGTCTTCCCATGCCACTGTGGACCTGGAAGTGGTCGCATTTTTTGATACGCTTGTGCATGTCATGGATTTATGAGCCTTCACTTGTTTTACATATACTTAACAAAAGTTATAATCCTATACCCACAGTGGATCCAGAGGAAGGCAAAAAACCCAGCAAAGCATAATACAATTTGCTCCTGCATGGGGAAAAAATTCCTTCCTGATCCCACGAGAGGCAAGCGTATCAAAAAATGTGAATAATACCACCTCCAGGTCCACAGTGCTCAACTGATGACATAGGGAGGCCTCATAGTATCCAAATCAGACATCTAAAGAACTATGAGGTCTTCCTTGTCACTGTGGACCTGGAAGTGGTCGCTTTTTTTGATATGCTTGTGCATGTCATGGATTTATGAGCATTTACTTGTTTTACATATACTTAACAAAAGTTATAATCCTATACCCACAGTTGATCCAGAGAAAGGCAAAAAACCCAGCGAAGCATAATACAATTTGCTCCTGCATGGGGAAAAAAATTCCTTCCTGATCCCCTAAGAGGCAAGCGTATCAAAAAATGCAAATGAGACCACCTCCAGGTCCACAGTGCTCAACTGATGGCATAGGAAGACGTCATAGTATCCAAAAACAGGTGTCTAAAGCACTAGGAGGTCTTCCCATGCCATCAGTTGAGCACTGTGGACCTGGAAATAGTCGCATTTTTTGATACAATTGTGCATGTAATGCATTTATGAGCATTCACTTGTTTTTACATATACTTAATAAAAGTTATAATCCTACACCCACAGTTGATCCAGAGGAAGGCAAAAAAAAACCCCAGCAAAGCATGATCCAATTTGCTCCTGCAGGGAAAAAAATTCCTTCCTGATCCCCCGAGAGGCAATCGGATATTCCCTGGATCAACTTTACCTATAAATGTTAGTAACCAGTTATATCCTGTGTATACAAGAAAGAATCCAGGCCTGAATGTGCATTTATTATTGCAGCCTTTAAAGATGTGATTAGGGGATCCCGGGGCTCCTGCACATTCTTCATCCAGCTCTTTCAATTAGGAGGAAGTGTCCATTGACTACGAGTGCGGTGATCATTGCATTTGTGTTCCATTGAGAACTACAAGTTGGGCTGCCAGTCTAGAGGACTCTATAAATGAAAGGTAGGGTTGTGCATGGGGCAAAATTCGAACGTGACCGCTGCTGCTGTTGGGGGGGGAAGTTACACTGAGCATCATGTTACATGTTACACCCTAAACACACGTGTCCCATGTGACATGATGAAAAATATGGAGTTAGGTGGTTCTAAAGCCTAAACATTTTTTACCTTAAAGAGGAACTTCACCTAAAAAGGGAAGTTCCACTTTCCTAGCTCCTCCCCCCATCCTCTAACTCTTTTGCACACTATTGCTTTTAGGAGGGGGAGCAACTTAGTTTTGACAGATACCCACTCCCAGGCAATCTATGCAAAAGTTTGCAACCCCCCCCCCAATTTCCTTTGCCCACAGCTTTCTGGGGCACTAATGTGATATCTGATATCACTAGAGTGAAACCAAAGGTAACATTTATTTTTTAAATACTAAACATGTCACACTTACCTGCTCTGTGTAATGAGCAGCCCTGATTCTCATCTTCTTGGGCTGCCAGAACTCTTGGCTCCTCCCCCTGCTGTGTGCCCTATAGTAAGCTGCTTGCTCTGGGGGCGCATATGCAGTCTTGATCCTGAGCCATAGACACACAGAGCATGGCTCAGCCCTGCTCCCTCCCCACTGGCTGTTATTGACAGCAACAGGAGCCAATGGTTCCCGCTGTTGCCTCTAAGCCAATGAGGAGGGAGGGAGCCGGGGGAGCAGGAGCTGGATCGAGATCAGGCTCAGATAATGATTGGTGGGGCCGGGGGGGTGAGCTGCACACAGAAGGTTTTATCTTCATGCAAAGAGTACATGAAGGTAAAATACCTTCAGCTTTAAGAACCATTTTAGTGTAATATTGAACCCTCATTTTTTCAGCACTTTCAGCAGCTGATTTAATCACTTACTGAGAATGCAGCTTATTCATCCTTAAATCCTTGCCTATGTCCCTGTTTAGGCTGATGCCATGACTGCTGTTCCAGGTTTCCTGGTTCTGAGTGGCTCCTTTCGCTTGCAGCATCCTAAGGAGCCACCCTTGCTGTGCCCCCCTTATATTGTGTGCATCAATGGAAACACACACAGCTCCATAGTCTAGGATGGCAAGGTTCACCCCTACTCCTCCCTAATAAACTGACTCAAGACTGCTCTTTTCACTGTTAACTCTTTCCTGTGGAGACTAGAAGTTCAGGGAAGCGGCACTGGTAGTTGTAAACTGCATGCTTTCGGGTAAGACTTTTAACATTTAATTTACTGGGGTGTGTTTATTTTATTGTACTCAATGTTAATGCTAAAAAATGCTGGGGGCAGGGGCGGACTGACAACTCATGGGGCCCCCGGGCAATAGGGGATCATGGGGCCCCTGTGTCCTTGCCCAAACTCAAAAAATCCTATGAAAAAGGTACCAGGGGTATCTCATGGGGCCCCCTACTGACCTCGGGCCCTTGGGCAGTGCCCGAGTTTCCAAATGGTCAGTCCGCCCCTGGCTGGGGGTTTAATACTACATTAAACATTTTTCACATGCTTTGAAGACCAAGTTCAACAGTTTCTAAGCCAACATCTTCACCACTCCGAGTTCGCACCTATCAGAAAAGACAGTCTCCATCCTAGCTGGGATGGACTTAAAAAAGTTGTCCTTAAAGTCTTGAGAAAACAACACATAAAGAACAGGGTTGATGCAACTGTTGAAGTAAGCCAGGCATATAGCAATTTCATTTATCAGGTTATCTAACTGGGAGTTCTCATGACCAATGTAGATGAACGGCCAAGTATAATACGGAAACCAACAGATGAAGAAACAGATCACTACAGTGATGACCATCCGATAAGACTGGCAAGATCTTCTTTTTATCAGTTTTTTCAGCTTATAAAAAATGAGGCCGTAAGAAATCATTATAACGGCGAAAGGTATCACAAACATTAAAGCCAATCTGATAAATCGTAAACTTTTTACGAGGTGATCAGCGGTGAAAGCCATTTGAGCATTCTTCGGAGCACAGTCTGAAAAATCAATTTCAAAATAATAAGTGCCAATAAGAGCGCTCAAGAGCAAAGAAACCACCCAAGTAATAATTGATACGCACGGGCCATGTTGAGTGTTCGGTGTATTCTTGTCCACATCGGCCACATGGCAGACACACAACGATCAACACTGATGACTGTTAGGAAGTAGACACTGCTGCACATGCTAAAAACCAATACGATGGAGCTAACAAGACACAGCTCTTGGGGATAATGAAATAAGCTGAACAAAGCCCATTCTGCTATCCGAACAGGTAGGAAAGCAGAACATATCAAGTCAGCTATTGCCAGGTTCAAGAACCACAACGCATTGACAGTCCTCATCTTGAATCCAGCAATCCAGATGACTAAGCAATTTCCTACTATTCCGACAATACATGTGATACTGTAGCAAAGTATACAGAAGGCTTTAAGAAATGGAAAAAGATTTGGTGGAACATAGAATAAAGTGTGATGGTTCCATGCAGTGTCATTATCAGTGGGTTGACTGAAATAATTGTTCCATGTGGTATTGTTGTCCAAAGATCGATTAAATGTTGCCACTTCCATGTTTTTCTGTAAAAAAAAAAAACCTAAAATTAATAAGGAGAGACTAATATAAGGGGGCCAGTCAAGTCTCTAAAAAATGACAATGGAAGGTCTCTGCAGTAGAGGAGCGCTTACTGTATGCTCACCTCTCTGGTGACCAAAGTCTCCTACGTTCCCCCGATCCAATTCTGGAGCCTCTTTCAAAAGCTTTAAAAACAACACGTGTAAATGGCGTGACAATGAGCACCATCACATAAAAATGCAATATCAATCAGCATCAATTACAAGTCTATAGAGTCCATAGAACGAGCACTATATTGTGGAAGCTCCCCATAGAGTGAAGAGAAACTCTGTGGAAATGAGAAAAGGAACAGAAGGGGGCGCCAGCCTAAGTGCAGTATTAAAAAACATTTATTAAAAATTGCCAAATCACTACTCACAACTGTGGTAAGTATAGAGCATTTTCCAGAGGTCTGAAGAAAAAGCAGAAGCTTTGAAATGCGTCACCTGACTTATCCTCGCGTTCCCATTGGATGTTGCTTCTGGTCCGGTCTTCACGGTGGTTATGGCATCCTTGGCTGAAGGCCCACAATTTCACCTGATTCTCTGTGCCTGAGCTCCAATGGACTCACACTGGCTGCTCTATTACATCCTCCTGGGTATCACATACCTGGTGTTAGAGGCCAATGGAGAGAAGGCTTTACTTGCAGGCAAGTTCCAGACTTCCCTAGGTATGGGACAGAAGCAGTCAGACCCAAAGCAGCACGGGTCACCTGTAGGACTGCTTGTCAGAGGTACACCCAGGAACACAGCTGATGCACTGGAATGGTGTCTGCAGACAGGTGGTGTCCATGAGAGGTATGCAAGCCTTCAGGGTACCAGAGGTCCACAGAGTAGTTGGTTCAAAGCCAAGGTCAGATGCCAGGTCGACATTGGAGCAGACATAGTCAATAGATAGCTGGGGTCATGCACAGGAGAACAAGTGAGAATATCTATTAGTCAAACCGAGGTCAGATCAGGAAAGCAGGTGGTGAGAACACCTATTAGCCAAGGTCAGATCAGGAGAGCAGGTGAGAACATCTATTAG